GAACTACCACAGAATGATAAAGGACATAGAAACCACAAAAAATAACCAGTTGGAAATTAAGAACATCATCAAGAATACACTGGAGGGAATAAAAAGTAGTCTGGATGAAACAGAGGATCGAATCAGTAATTTGGAAGACAAAGTATTAAAAAAAGGAACGATCAGAGTAGCAAAAAAAAAAAAAAAAAAAAAAAAGAATGAGGATAGTTTAAGGGAATTTAGGGACAATATGAAACGTAACAATATCTGCATCATAGGGGTAGCACAAAGAAAATAAAGTGAGCAAGGAATAGATAACCTGTTTGGAGTAATAATGACAGAAAACTTCCCTAAGTTGGTAAAGAAAAAAGTCACACAAATTCAGGAAGCACAGCGGTACAAACTAGATGAACACTAAGATACCCACACCAAGACACATCATACTTAAAATGGCAAAAGTTAAACACAAATAGAGAATGTTACAGGCAGCAAAAGAGAGATAGTTATTTACCTACAAAGGAGTTCCCATAAGGTTGTCAGTTGATTTCTCAACAGAAACACATCAAGCCAGAAAGGATTGGCATGAAGTACTCAAAGTTATGAAAAGTAGGGATCTGAAACCAAGACTACTCTATCCAGCAAGGCTATCTTTTATTTATTTATTTATTTATTTATTTATTTATTTATTTATTTATTTATTTTTTTGGTATGTGCCCCTAGCAGAAACCGAACCTGGACTCTCCAGTCCGCAGGCCTATGCTCCAACTGCTGAGCCAAACTAGCCAGGGCGGCAAGGCTATCATTTAAAATTGAAGGCAAAATAAAGAAGTCCATTGCCACCAAACCAACATGGCAAGAAATGTTAAAAGGACTGCTTTAAGAAGAAGAAATAGTGAGAGGATAGTACATAGGTATAAAAGAAAAAATGGCAATAAATAAGTACCTATCAATAATAACCTTAAATATAAATATATTAAATGTTCCAATCAAAAGATATATGATAGCTGAATGGATAGAAAAACATGACCCATATATATATGCAAGAGATCTACCTTGAAGCAAAAGATTCACAAAGGCTGAAAATGAAGGGATGGAGAAAATATTCCATATAGATGGAAACAAACAAAAAGCTGGAATAGCAATACTAATATCTAACAAAATAGACTTTAAAACAAAGGCCATAACAAGAGACAAAGATGATCACTACATAATACTGAAAGGATCAATCCAACAAGAGGATATAACCCTAGTTAACATATATGCATCCAATATAGGAACACCTAAATACGCTTGGTAAACTTTAAGGGAGAGATCAACAATACAGTTATAGAAGGGAACTTGAACACCCCAGTGTCATCACTGAATAGATTTTCCAGACAAAAAAATCAACAAGAAAACAGCAACCATAAATGACACACTAAATTAGATGGATTTGATATTTAAAGCACCAGAATATACATTCTTCTCAAGTGCACATGGAACGTTCTCAAAGATAGACCATGTTAGGACAGAAAATAAGTCTTAACAAATTCAGAAGGTTAAAATCATATCACACATTGTCTCAGATCACAATGGCATGAAACTAAAGTTCAAGTACAATTAAAACAAACCTCAAAAACATCCCTGGCTGGTTTGGTTCAGCAGTTAGAGCATCAGTCTACAGACCAAAGAGTCGTGGGTTTGATTCTGGTCAAGGGCACATACCTCGGTTGCAATTTGGTCCCTGGCCCGGGTAGGGGTTGTGCAGGAGGCAGAAAATTGATGTGTCTGTCTCACATTGATGTTTCTCTTTCTCTCTCTCTCCCTCCCTCCCACTCTGTCTGAAAATAATGGAAAAATATCCTTGGGTGAAGATTAAAAAAAACCCTCAAACACATGAAGGCTAAATAGCATGTTATTAAACAATGAATGGGTTATCAATGAGATCAAGGAAGAAATGAAAAATTACCTGGAAACAAATGAAAATGAACACACAACAACACAAAATCTATGGGACACAGCAAAAGCAGTCCTGAGAGGTAATTTCATAGCATTACAGACCTACCTTAAGAAACAAGAAAAATCTCAAATAAACAATCTAACCCTACACCTAAAAGAACTAGAAAAACAAAAGAAAATCCCAGAGTAAGTAGAAGGAAGGACATAATAAAGATGAGAATGGAAAGAAATGAAATATAGACAGAAAAAAAAAATACAAAGGATTACTGAAACCAATAGCTGGTTCTTTGAAATGATAAAAAAAAAGGTTGATGAACTTTTAACCAGACTCAGCAAGAAACAAAGACAGAGGACCTAAATAAATAAAATCAGCAATGAAAGAGGCGAAGTAACAACTGACATCACAGAAATACAAAGAATTGTAAGAAAATACTATGCATATCTATATGGCAACAAACTGAACAACCTGGGTGAAATGAAAAAATTCCTAGAAACATACAATCTTTCAAAACTGAATCAGGAAGAATCAGAAAACCTGAATAGGCCAACAACAACTATAAAATTGAAGCAGTGATAAAACAAACAAACAAACAAAACCTTCCAGCAAATGAAAGTCCTGAAACGAATAACATCGCAGGCAAATTTTACCAAATATTCAGAGAATAACTAACACTTATCCTCAAACTATTCCAAAAAAGTCAAGAGAAGAGAAGACGTCCAAGTTTTTTTTATGAGGCCAGCATTATTCTAATTCAAAAACAAAATAAAGACACTACAAGAAAGAATATGAAAGCCAAGATACCTGATGAACATAGATGTTAAAATTCTTAAGAAAATATTAGCAAATCGAATCCAGCGATACATTAAAAATGACCAAGTGAGATTTATTCCAGGGATGCAAGGCTGGTACAATATTTGCAAATCAATAAATGTGACACATCATGTAAACAAAATGAAAGATAAAAATCACATAATTATATAGATACAGAAAAAAATTTAATAAAATCTAACACCCTTTTATGATAAAAACTCTCAGCAAAGTAGGAATAGAGGGATTGTATCTCAACATAAAAGCCACATGTGAAATATCTACGGCCAACATTATACTCAATGGGCAAAAACTAAGAGCATTTCCTTTCAGATCAGGGACAGGACAGAGTTGTGGGTTTTCACTGTTCTTATTCAACATAGTACTGGAAGTCCTAGCCACAGCGATCAGACAAGGAGAAGAAATAAAAGGCATCCAAATTGGACAGGAGGAGCAAAACTGTCATTATTCACAGATGACATGATATTGTAGATAGAAAACCCTAAAGAGTCCACCAAAAAATTTACTATATCTAATACATGAATTTGGCAAAATAGTAGGATACAAAATTAATATCCAGAAATTGGTGGTATTTTTATGCACCACTAATAATGAGCTATCAGAAAGAGAAATTATGAAAATAATCCTATTTACTATTGCAATAAGAAACCTAAGGTATTTAGGAATAAATTTAACCAATGAGGTAAAAGACTTGTACTCAGAAAACTATAGGACATTGAAGAAAGAAATTGAGGAAGATATAAACAAGTGAAAGTATATAATGTGTTAATGGATTATAAAAATTAACAGCATTTTAATGTCCAATCTATAGATTCAATGCAATTCCTATTGAAATACCAATGGTATATTTCACAGATCTGGAATAAATATTCCAAAAATTTATATGGAACCACAAAAAGATCTTGAATAGCCTCAGCAATCTTGAGAAAGAAGAACAAAATTAGAGGTATCACAATACCAGATATCAAACTATACTACAAAGCCACTGTAATCAAAACAGCCTGGTACTCGCATAAGAACAGGCATATAGATCAATGAAACAGAACAGAAAACCCAGAAATCAACCCATGCCTTTATGGTCAATTAATATTTGACAAAGGAGGCAAGAGCATACAATGGAGAAATGACAGTCTCTTCAATAAATGGTGTTGGGAAATTGGACAAGTACATGCAAAAAAAAAAAAAATGAAACTAGACCACCAACTTACACCATACATAAGTATAAACTCAAAATGGATTAAAGACTTAAATGTAAGTTGCAAAACCATAAAAATCCTAGAAGAAAACATAGGCAGTAAAATCTCAGATATCTCTTGTAGCAATATTTTTTCCAATATATCTCCTAAGGCAAGGGCAAAAAATAAACAAATGGGACTACATCAAACAAAAGCTCTGCACAGCAAAAGAAACCATCAACAAAATGAAAAGGGAACCCACTGTATGGGAGAACATATTTTCCAATGATACGTCTGATAAGTGTTAATTTCCAAAATATAAAGAACTTATACAACACAACACCAGAAGACAAACAATCCAATTTAAAATGGGCAAAGGGCCCTGGCCAGTTTGGCTCAGCGGTTAGAGCGTCCGCCTGCGGTCCGGAGAGACCCGGGTTCAGTTCCCGCTAGGGGCATGTACTTTGGTTGCAGTTTGTCCCCGGCCCTGGTTGGTCGTGCGGGTGGCAGCCACTCGATGTGTCCCTTTCACATCGATGTTTCCCTCTCTCTCTCTTCCTCTCTCTCCCTCCCACTCTGTCTGTGCAAAGGATGGAAAGGTGTCCTCGGGTGAGGAAAAAAAAACAAAAAACAAAAAAAAATGGGCAAAGGACCTGAATAGACACTTCTCCAAAGAGGACATTATAAGACACATGAAAAAATGCTCAATGTCACTAATCATCAGAGAGATACAAATTAAAACTACGAGTCCGGCCAGTGTGGCTCAGTGGTTGAGTGTTGACCGATGCACCAAGAGGTCACTGGTTCGATTCCCCATCAGGACACATGCCCAGGTTGTGGGCCAAATCCCCAATGGGGGGCATTCAGGAGGAGGCCAATTGATGTTCTCTCTCATCGATGTTTCTATCTGTCACTCTCCCTTCCTCTCTCTCTAAAATCAATAAAGGAAAACAACAACAACAACAACAAAACTACAATGAGATATTACCTCACACATACCAGAATGGCTACCATCAATAAATCAAGAAATGACAAGTGCTGGCAAGGATGTAGAGAAAAGGGAACCCTAGTACACTGCTGGTGGGAATGCAGACTGGTGCAGCCACTGTGGAAAAGAGTATGGAGACACCTTAGAATATTTAAAATAAAACTTCTTTTTGACCCAATGATCCTACTTTTAGGAATATACCCTAAGAATCATAAAGAATATATGTACCCCTATGTTTATAGCAGCTCTATTTACAATAGCTAAGATCTGGAAACAGCCCAAGTGCCTGTCAGTAGATAAGTGGATAAAAAAGCTGGGGTACATTTACATAATGGTATACTACACAGCTGTAAAAAAAAAAAAAAAAGGAACTCTTACTCTTTGCGACATCCTGGATGGACCTGGAGATTACTATACTAAGTGAATTAAGCCAGTCAAATTAAACTGATGAACAAAATAGAACCAGAGGCATGGATACATGGAACATACTGACAGAAGTCAGAAGGGGGGGGGGGGATTGAATGAAAGAAGGTGAAGAGATTAGCCAAAGAACATATATGCATAGCCCACAAATACAGAAAACAGTGTGGTGAAAGTTGGGGTTGAGGGGACTGGAAGGGGGTCAAAGGTAGGGAAAATGAGGGACATCTATAATAGTATCAACAATTTAAAAAAAGAAAGAGCATAATTAAATAATATTATGTTAAATAGTATTTGAACATTACTAATAATTCAACTAAAAATTGTAAACAATTGTATAAGAGCATCAAAGTCTCATCACCCATAACAGTTTTCAATACAAAAGTCTAAAATTTATCAATAAATAAATAGCAAGATATCCCAATTTATTACAAAATGGAGCCTAATAACAACATAAAAAAAGGAGTTAAAAGTTGAAAGTGGTTGCCTTCATGGAACATGACTGGGTAGAGAGTGGATAGGTTGTTGTTGTTTTTTTGTAATAGGTCTTTAATTCTACTTGACTTAAAATTTTTTATTTTATTTTGTAGTGCCTACTACGTGCCAGGCAATAGTCTAAGCACTTGCCAAATACTAATTCATTTACTCCTTATAACAACTTTAAAAGATAGGCACTATTGTTATCTCGTTTTACACATGAGGAAATTGAGGCATTGAGAGGTTTGGTAGTTCTTCCAGGGTCACACAGCTAGAAAATCTAGAGTTACAATTCAAACCGGCTAGTCTGGCTCTAGAATTCATACATTTAACTGCCATTTAACTGCCTCTTCATTGTTAATTTTTATTTTCATTCCTAATTTTGATTGCCTATGATTTTTTTTAAAATCAGTCTTGGCAAAGGCTTGCCAATTTTTTTTTTTTACCAGTTTTTGCAGAACCAATAGATTTATTGATCTACCCTATCATATGTTTGTTTTCTATTCATTCTGTTCTTTTTATTTTATTTTACTTTTTTTTTTCTTATCCTCACCCGAGGACATTTTTCCATTTTTCGTACAGATAGAGTGGGAGAGAGAGAGAGAGAGAAACATCGATGTGAAGGGACACATCGAGTGGCTGCCATCCGCACGACCAACCAGGGCCGGGGACAAACTGCAACCGAAGTACGTGCCCTTAGCGGGAACCGAACCCGGGTCTCTCCAGACCGCAGGCCGACGCTCTAACCGCTGAGCCAAACTGGCCAGGGCTTATTTTACTTTTTAATTAATTAATTTTTGTTACAGATATTTCTACTTTTCCCCTCCATTGACACCCTCCTCCCTGCTCCCACACCCCCCTTCACAATATTGTTGTCTATGTCCATTGGTTAGGCATATATGCATATAAGTTCTTTGGTTTATCTCCTCCCTCTACCACCCCCCTCCTCTGGTTTGTCAGTCTGATCTCTACTTTTATGTCTTTGGGTCTATTTTGTTCATCAGCTTATTTTGTTCACTATATTCCACAAATAAGTGAGATTATGTGATACTTGTCTTTTTCTGACTGGCTTATTTCGTAGTTCTACTTGACTTTTTAAACATGCATATATTTTGACAATTTTGAGAGTATTCAGAATAAAATAAGTATGGATCTTTTGTTCAAAATTTCTTTGTTTTTTGTTGTCTGATTATGTAAGTAATACAATTATTTTTTAGATTGGTTTGGTAATAAGTCTAAATAATTGCTTACTCATCTTATAGAATAGTTGAGATATGACAACAGGCCAACAATAGCACTCTCCTTTTTTGTTTGTTTCAAGACTGGGAAATTTTTTCAGCTGGTGGAAGTAAATATTAGAAACCTATAGAATCCAGCCACCAATACAGAGGGTCTTGTTCTTAAGTTCTGGTTCAAATTAATATCTGATCAATGCTTTCTTTAGCTCTGGGCTGTGGTCTGGGTATTACTGTAGTGTAATATGACCTTTTGTATTTCCTTTTCAGATGCTTTGTGCACCACCTTTAGTAAGCTTCATTTTGAGATAGTGCCTTACAAAGACTCTACAGCAAAGGAAATCTGTGAAGTTCTGAAAAAATACCAAAGCATTGACCACAACGACAAAGACTGCTTCATCTGCTGCATCCTTTCCCATGGAGACAAGGGCATCATCTATGGCTCTGATGGGCAGGAAGCCCCCATCTATGAGCTGACCTCTTACTTCACCGGTTTAAAGTGCCCTTCTCTTGTAGGCAAGCCCAAAATTTTTTTTATCCAGGCTTGTCAAGGGGATAACTACCAGAAGGGTATAGCTGTTGAGACTGACTCGGAAGAGAAGGAAGCCTATTTAGAAATGGACTCATCATATCAGAAAAAATATATCCCAGATGAGGCTGACTTTCTGCTGGGGATGGCCACTGTGAACAACTGTGTTTCCTACCGAAACCCTTTGGAGGGGACCTGGTATATCCAGTCACTGTGCCAGAGCCTGAAAGAAAGGTGTCCTAGGTAAGTCTTGCCTAGTCAAACCCTTCATTCGTCTATAAATGTCTAGCTGTGGATCACATAGCTGCACTTCCCATGTCAGTTGCAAAGTGGGAAAGAGAACAAGTCTTAACAGCTTTAGTCATAGATAGAAAAAACTGAGATACTTTCTGCAGGGTTTCCTTTTCTTAGCACCAGAAAGGACAATCAGGGTATCATATCATTAGGAAGGATGGTGAAGTGACATAGTCCAGCTAGCTCTGTATTTAGGCAGAAACATGACTGTGCCAACTCAACTATAAAACTTCTAAGAAGTCTTCCAAAAAGGCAGTAACCTGTTTCAATGTTTAACATCCTCCAATTCTGTAAAAAGTTCCATAATAGCTAACCAACCTCAAACCCTCTTGGTGTATTGTGAGAGATAAATACCACAGAGTAGAAACCCTTTATAGTTTTACTCCTTTGGCCTGATCTAAAGCCACAAAATGTAGGAAAACAGCCTTTCCTCATTTAAATATCCTTTGTTTCCTTTAGTTAAATGATGGTATTATATGTCACAGTTCACCCAAATGCACACACAACTAACAGATGATAACAAGGAATCTTCTGCAGTTTCCTTCTAGTTCAGCATTATTACGTTCTAAGTGTATGAAGAGTGAGAATTTTCCATGGTAGATAAAGGAGTAAACCATAACATTAACACTATGTTTTCATTTTGAGATTCAGACCATGAATCTTGCAAGGTTCAGGGGACTATTTGCAGAGGCAAATAAACAGGTTGCTCAATTGAACTGATTAGTGAGGCTGGGGAGAAAGGGGTGAGGTGACTGCAGGAGACATTCAATTTTCACTGACTTGAAGTTTGATTGCATCATAGATGAATCCACAGAAGCAATTTCAATGTGAGGCAGAGGATGTCAGGGGTCATTGAGGTGAATATGGGGGCAAGTAACTGTACATGGAGTAGAGTGAGGTGCAAACAGATTGGGAGGGAAAGAAACCAAATATGATGTTAAAACCGAGGTTTCTGATAGTCTATAGAGATCCTGAGTGAACCAAAGATAAGTTATTAAGCTCTGAGACAACTCCTTTACTTGAAAGTGTGGTAGGTCTTGGTTTAGCAACTTTTTATTTCAAATGCCTGATGTTTTGAGAGAAATAACTACCATAAACACAGCAGGTGAATGGGTTTACCAGTTGTTTTTCCCTCACAAATGGTCACAACACTATGTTATGTTTTTCAGGGGTGACGATATTCTCACCATCCTTACTGAGGTCAACTTTGAAGTGAGCAATAAGGATGACAAGAAAAATATGGGGAAGCAGATGCCCCAACCTACTTTCACTCTGAGGAAAAAGCTCTTCTTCCCTCTTATTTGATGTATAAAAAACACTATGTTTAATTTTTTACATTGAAACTTTACTTTAGTGTTTCATTTACTTGCATAACACTATGCTTAATTTAATAAGATGCTGCTATTCTTCCCCCCCCCACCCAGTTTTGTTGTTTTTGTTGGGGTGGTGGTGGTGGTGGTTTTGTTTTTGATGTCAGAAAGGAGAGAGAATGAAAGTCAATATAACTTAATTTTTTATCAAATTCAAGCCTAAAATCTCTGGCTTTGTAACAATAGCTAGATACTTATAGCCATTATTTTAATTGTATTTTTTAATTTGATAAAAAAGTTTTTAAAACCTATAGTATATACAAAAGTATAGTTAAGTTTAAATAAAAGGTGAGACCATAATGGTTCGAAAAGTGGCAGAATGTATTTCACACATAATGCATCTGTTTTCAACAGAATCACTTAATTTAATTCCCTTCAAAATTTTAAGTATTTTTGTTTTGTTTTGTACTTTCAGTCTCTCTCTTTCCAAGTCATCCTGTACAATATTCTATAAATAACTAGAGCAAAAATTTTCTTTTTTCTTTTGCCAGGCTCTTTGGCTTTTCTGCTAATTAAGTAAATATAGGGTAAATTAACAGTAGAAAAATAAAATTAAATAAAACAGAGTCAGAGTGTCTATCTGGTTTTCATTCAAAATGAAATTTGCATTCAAAATGAATAATATTCCCTAAATTCCACAGCAAGTTCCTCTAAAATATAATTGGAAAATATTATTTTTTATATTAAAAGTTTTTAAAAATCAAAAATGTTTTTACAAATCTGTTATAATCTGTTTCAGCCTTTTGTATTAGTGCTGTTATAGTATATGCATGCTTCTGTGCACATTTGATTTGCTTTTTTTGCTAGCATTGCTGTGCTTTTTTCATGCTTTAAATTTATAATTGCTCTCTATATTTCTTTTATTTATTTATTTATTTTATCCTCACTTGCGGACATTTTCACATTTATCTTCAGATAGCGTGGGAGGGAGAGAGGCAGGAAGAGAGAGGGAGAAACATTGATGTGAGACAGACACATCAATTGGTTGCCAGCCACAAGACCCCAACCGGAGCCAGGACAAACTGTAACTGAGGTACGTGCTCTTAGTGGGAACTGAACCCAGGTCATTCTGGTCCATGGGCTGACGCTCCAACCGCTGAGCCAAATCAGCCAGGGCTGCTTTCTACATTTCATTTGACATATTTAGTAATCATGTCATTTTTAAAATTCAAGATTAAAAAAAAATAGTTTTTCAAAAGTATTTCTAATAAAATATAATTTAATCTGCCCTGACTGGTTTGGCTCAGCAGTTAAAGCGTTGGCCCATGGACCAGAAAGACCCAGGTTCGGTTCCCACTAAGGGTACGTACCTCAGTTGCAGTTTGTCCCTGGGGTCGTGTGGGTGGCAACCACTCAATGTATCTCTCTCACATCGATGTTTCTCTTTCTCTTCCTCCCTTTCTCCCTCCCTCTCTCCCTCTCACTCTATCTGAAGATAAATGCAAAATAAATGAATAAATAAAATAAAATAAAGTAGCCCAGCCAGTGTGGCTTAGTGGCTGAGCATTGACCCATGCACCAAGAGGTCGCTGGTTCAATTCCCAGTCAGGGCACATGCCCAGGTTGTGGGCCCGATCCCCAGGGACAAGCAGCAGTCAGCCAATCAATGTTCTCTCTCATCAATGTTTCTATCTCCCTCTCCCTCTTTCTTCCTTTCTCTAAAAATCAATAAAGAAAAAAAATTTCCCAGAAATTGACCCAAAACATTATGCTCAATTAATAGTCAATGAAGGTGGCAAAAGCATACAATGGAGTAAAGACAGCTTCTTTAATAAATGATGTTGGGGAAATTGGACAGCTACATGCAAAAAAATAAAACTAACCATCAACTTACACCATACACAAAAATAAACTCAAAATGGATAAAAGAGTTAAATGTGACTCGTGAATTCATAAAAATCCTAGAAGAAAATGTAGGTAACAACATTTCAGACATCATATGCAGCAGAATTTTCACTGATACATCACCTAAGGCAACAGAAACAAAAGAAAAAATAATCACATGGGACTACATCAAACTCAAAAGCTTCTTCACAGCAAAAGAAACAACTGTCAAAATGGAAAGGGAACCCACTGTATGGGAGAGCATAATTGCCAATGATATATCAGATAAGGGGTTAATTTCCAAAATACATAGAGTACTCATACAACTCAACAACAAAAAAAGACAAAGAACCAATTAAAAATGGGCAGAGGAGCTAAATAGACACCTCTCCAAATAGGACATACAAATGGCCAAGAGACATTGAAGAAGTGCTCAAAATCACTAATCTGATCAGAGAGATGCAAATTAAAACAACAATGAGGTATCACCTCACACCTGTCAGAATGGCCGCCATCCACAAATCATCAAACAACAACTGTTGGCGAGGGTGTGGAGAAAAGGGAACTCTAGTACACTGCTGGTGGGAATGCAGACTGGTGCAGCCTCTATGGAAAACACTATGGAGTTACCTCAAAAAATTAAAAATTGAATTTTCATTTGACCCAATGATTCCACTTCTAGGAATATACCCTAAGAAGCCTGAAACACTAATCAGAAGGAATATATGTACCCCCATGTTCATAGCAGCCCTATTTACAATAGCTAAGATCTGGAAACAGCCCAAATGTCCATCAGTAGATGAATGGATAAAAAAAGCTGTGGTATGAAAAAGATGGCGGCAGGCAGGACTGAAGGGAGGGTGGGTGTGTTCTCGAGAGAGTGAGTGAGTGTGTGAGAGAGTATGAGTGGATGTGAAGGTGGATGATCAAACCTAAGCAGTGCAGAGACGCTGAGCAGAAGGTTCCTGTGCTGTGGACGGGAGCAGTCGGTGGTAAGCAGCCCTTCAGGGAGCTTCTCCCTGTGCTGCGAGGAGGTCCCACCATTTTGGAAGGTCTTCCCTGGGGGAGGCAGTGGGAGCACCTAGGGCCCAGCTACCTGAGCCCACCAGTGCACCTGGCACCATCAGACCAGTGGACACTCTGTGTCAACACAGACCAGTGCACAGTAGTGGAGCTCTCAAGGTGCTGGAGACGCAGACAGCCCGGAGCCCAGCACCATCCCCCATAGTAGCAGCCCCATCAGAGTCGAGATATACCCCCAGCAACAGAGGCTGGGGAGCAGACATCCATTCCCAGGCAACAGAAGGACAGACCAGCAACTGAGATCCATCCACAAAAACTACAACAAAAGTTGAGCAGGAGTTGAGCCCCATGGGGCAGCAGCACTTCCCAGCTGCCAGTGGCGGGACCTGGGGCTCCAAAGAGGCCTGTGTGGTCCAGTAGCTCACAAGAACAGTAGGAAGCCTGAGCTCAAGAGAGACAGGTGCGATCCAGCTGCCCGCCCGCGGGGCCTGCAGGGTGCAGGGGCAACAGAGAGGCCTGTGCGATCCAGCAGAGACTGTGTGATCTAGTTACCCCAGGACCTGCAGGGTGTTGAAACACCAGAGAGGCCTGTGCAACCCAGCAGGGACTGTGCAATCTAGTTACCCATGGGGCCTGTGGGGTGCTGAAGCACCAGAGAGCCCTGTGCAACCCAGCAGCCCATAACATAGGCATAGAGCTGGGTCCCCAAAGGGACTGTGTGATCCAGTTACCCGCGAGACCTGCAGGGTGCTGGGGCACCAGGAAGGCCAGTGCGACTCAGCTGCACACAAGATAGGCGTGGAGAATGTGAAAAATGGAGGCAGAGTGAATAGAAGCTACGCAGACGATCTCCCAGGACCAAACAGGAATTACAACTAAAATAATAACAAATCCTCAGAAAAAAGCAACAGAAAAGAAGCAGGACAGGACCATATAACCAGGGACATGGTAGGATCTGCGGAGGCATGAGAGGGTGCCGGGCTAGCAGCCCACAGACAGCAGCAGTCTTAGCTGTGAGCAGCAACCTTGGGGAATAAAGACCAAGCCCGCTCCACAGTGCAGAGAGCCAGGACAGAATGCTAAAATACCTACAGCCACTCACCTGGGGGCTACAGCAGAGGGAGGACAGAGTGGGCTGGAACTCCGTGGGGACACCTGGAATTTGGAGGGCACTCAGAGTTTATGCTGAGTTGCAGCCACATAAAACGGTGGCCAGTGTGCTCCTTCCCAGAGCTGTGGAGAAAAGCAGAAGCACCCCCCTTCAAAGATTCAGCCTTTCCCAGGTGAGGCAAAGAAATAAACATTGAAGCTCATTAACAACCAGCATCTATTCCACCCTCTGGAAATCCTCTTATGCAGAACACCAGGGCTACGTTCCAAGGCACTGAGTAACTGAGACTACTAGTCACCAGGAAAAAGCTAGAGGATAACTGAACCTTTCCTGGGCTTGCAAATCTACCCAGAAAAGTAAGACTTGATAGTGGTGTTTAACGTGAGCCCACCCAGGCTCATCCAAACCCAGTAAAGGGAACCACAAAGAGCAGAACACCAACACCCATGGGGAAAATTTGGCAAGCTCCAAAACCCAAGGAGATAGCCAAAATGGTGAAACGAAGAAACAAATCCCAAATGAAAGAACAAGACAACTCTATTGAAGATGAGATCAATGAAATGCAGCTAAGCAAATTATCAGAGGTGACGTTCAGAGCCATTATCATGAGGAAGCTCAACAGCATGAGTAAGGACATCAGCACCATGAGTAAAGATATAGAAACATTAAAAACCAACCAAGTGGAAATGAAGAATGAAATAGCAGAAATTAAGAGCACATTGGAAGGACTAAACAGCAGAGTAGAGGAAGCAGAGGACCGGATCAGTGAATTAGAAGACAGGGTAGAAAAATATCAACCAATCAAAAAACCAAAAAAAAAAAAAACACTTACAAAACAGGAAGACAGCTTAAGAGAACTGTGGGACAACTGGAAATGTAATAACATTTGCATCATAGGAGTCCCCAAAGAGGAAGAAAATGGGCAAGGGTTAGATAATATATTTGAAGAAATAGTGACAGAAAACTTTCCTAACTTGGTGAAGAAAGAAGGCATTCAAGTTCAATAAGCACAGAGAGCCCCAAGTAAGAAGAACCCAAACAGGCCCACACCAAGACACATAGTAATTAAAATGCCAATAATTAAAGACAGAGAGAATCCTAAAGGCAGAAAGAGATAAGCAACAGGTTACCTACAAAGGAAACCCCATAAGGCTCTCAGCTGACTTCTCAACAGAAACACTACAGGCCAGAAGGGAGAGGCATGATGTAATCAAGGTCATGAAAAACAAGGATTTGAAACCAAGACTACTCTACCCAGAAAGGCTATCATTTAAAATAGAAGGTCAAATAAAGAGCTTCCCAGACAAAAAAGGCTAAAGGAATACATTAGCACCAAACCAGCACTGCAAGAAATGTTAAAAGGACTGCTGTAATTAGCAGGAGAAATAGGAAGA